TATAGGTGTAGTAGTACCTCTTCGGGCTCTTGGATACCTTTTCCTTGCTACGTGTGCGTGTTCTTTAGATCCTCAGATGGCTCTAGCACTTTCGTGACCACGGGCTGAGAGTCTTTGCTAGATTTTGGCATTTAGCAACTGGCATACGGTTTAATGTGAAGTCAACAACAACAACAACAACAACAACATAGCCTTGGCCTTGATGATGTCAGCGGTCTCTTCGCCCAGTGTAGAAAAAAAAGACCCTCGGAAGATCCAGGGAAAACCCAGTCACATGTGGTGTGGAACACCGCCCTAAACACGAGAAGCACAATGGAGGCGAGCAGTCACTTGTCACTGCCGGTCAGGGACGAATAGTCCGTGACGGGATCCTTGAGGGGTTCCGCACCGGGCGGGTACAAATTGTTACCCTTGCGATGTCTCATGGTGGCTGAAATGAGCTCCCGTCTCTTGGTGTTCTGCAGCGCAATCAAGTACTTCTGCACCAACGCCTGTGCATTCTGGAACAAAAAGAGTGAAGGTTAATTAAGCGGTCGCGTGTGTTGGGCACTGTAGAAAAAGGGGAAAGCAGTCGGTTCCTTGTAAGGCGGTCGGTTCGCGCTGATGGTCGTGTGCGTTGCACACTTCAAACACCACGTCCGGATGACGCCGCGCATGCGATAGGTACTAGACGTCTACATGTATACGAAGGTGAAACCACCCTTCACGAAGCGCCCCTGCCCCCCTCCCGTCCTCTTCGAACGTGTTAAACGACACAAAACTATACAATCACACCGACCGAAGGGACGCATGCAATAAATCGCCCCAGGACCCCTTCGCCCGGACAATCCACCGTTTTTGTACTGTATGTTTGCCACACACTGCGGGAGATTGACCTCCGATATTAATTTCCCGTGAACATCAGGAGCATTCTCGTGTGTCGTCCTTGATTGGAAATCATACGCCACATAGTGTGTCTAGAGTAACCCCCGCGGCCCGACTAGCTTTTGTGTAATGGAGGTGATTTGGTGTGTAACTTTTAGCCGTCGGTGGTGAAAATGCATAGACTATATTAGCGTCGTTTACTTCGTGAACTCAAAGATGTGTTACAAACACGGACACGCCATACGATGATACCTATACAATGCTGTTTCACGTGTGTGCCATTCGACGACACACCCGCGTGGCTCCGTGCGTCGAGAAAGTGGGCGCACTCTATTTATTCGACTTTGTTGCAGGCTCATTGCACATGGCGTGAAAGTAACACCGCGGCGGAGGTCAAGACCCACAGTCAATAATGTAGAACTGTGTAAATCGATCAAAACAAGGAACGCACCAGAGCATCAGCGTGCAAGCTTTCCACCGGTGTAACCCTGGACGGCACGATGTCCATTGCTTCGAACAGGGGCCACACGTCACCCTCCTGGGGGGCAACCACGCCGAGCGCAGATGATAGATGTCCCTGCCGAACAGGGTTGGACGCCAAGGCCTCCAATTTGCTCCTTTCTTCCAGCATTAGCCCCCTCGTGCGCCGGTTGGTGACGATATCGTACAACTGGTCCCCCACAGGTCCCCGCCTTCGTTGTCCTGCGTCTGCTCTACCATGCAGAATATGCATGGGAACCTGCTGAAGCTGTTGGGGTGCTTGCAATAGCACATCAGCGCTCGTTGCGGGGAGTCTGCTACCAGTACCAAAAGTCCGCCTCGAAGAAAGACCTGGACGGCCGCGCGATCGGGATTGAAACGCGCTCGTGATGTTCAGCCATCCTCATGACTTGTTGAAAAACTATGCCGGTTGCACATAAAACACGGCCTCTGCGTCTTGAACGTATCGCCGACAAGATAAGGTTGACAATCAATGAATCGATTACTGATGTCTACATCAAAACAGTACCCCAGAGCGGGTGGTAACATCCCTCGACATGAGAGAAGGTTTGATGCATGCAACACTTTAATCGAAAGATCTCGACAACACAAACGCACTGGTGGTTGAACGCCGTTGGAACACACATACATACGTGAGGACGTCACAACACACAGAAAGCGTACAAGCGCACCTTGACGACGTAGGCTGGTTCGCCATCGGTAGCAGGGAAGTGCACGACGGCAGTGCAACCCTTCTGAAGGTCACCCGTGAGCCGGCAGAATAGGTCCATCTCTCCCTCACAGCTTGCCCCCTTCGAAGCACACGTTGTAATGTGCGCTTGACCCCTCTTCCGCTGCAACGAGGGTGTGGTGCTTCCGAAACCAATATACGTGGCCCCTACCGTACTCTTCGTGTGCATCCCGACGCTGTTGAAGCCGTCGATCATTCCAATGACTGGCATCGCCACGTAGGGGTCGTTGGCTGAATTGTGCACGAACCTTTTCTTGCGGATGCTAAATCTCGAATCGTCTGGCGTTCCCTCTTTCCCCCATGGTTCCCTTGACACGACATACTCGCCATCAGCGTCGTCGCGTTGCTTGCGCCGCTTTGGGTATTTCACACGCCGTGCCGCACCGGATGAAGGCTTCTTACTCCGTACGAATCCCATACATACGAACTTGCTCCCGCATGACCTCTGCCCTTCCGTGCACTCGCCTCCGCCTAGCTTGGCTGCCTCCTCCGGCGTGTACATCTCACACAGATCCGACATGTCGGTAGATCTCACCAAGCACTCGACGTCCTTCTTGTCGATATCTTCCTCTTCTTCCCACGTCCTCACGAAGCGAACTTCATCTTCCTGGTGTATCTTCCCCTCGATCTCATCGGCTACACGAAATCACCTCACAGACGCCATTATCGCGCCGAACTGTTCGTGCTACGCTAAAGATAGTATCCTGGAAGGTTGCGTCGACTGGATGCCGTCGAGCTTAACCATCGCTATGTCGTTGACGTAAACTCTCCTGCTAGAACCATGGGGTCTATCCTGTCCGAGCATGCCGTCCAACCTGACGTGCCGGCTCAATCTCATGAGTCAGTCTCCCATGGTGGTTGCTACTCCTAGCGTTTCCCTCGCGAACCTCCGGAGAAGATGAAATAACAAGCTCCGAGGCCAATCCGTTAGCAGTCTACTCGACTGCGGTGAGTGCCTTGCCCCCCTGGTTAACCATCATTTCTTGCACTGCCGACTTCGATCTCAGTTTGCGGTCAATAATCAGATTCGCCGGTATTTCATGCACGTAAGCCTCAGTCTCCCCAGCAGCCTGTGCAATAGCGGAACACTTCACTTTACGCTTGAGTTGTAGGAGGAGGGGTGCGTAGCGCCGACTTCTTGCCCGAAAATGCTCGTGGTGCACCCCGGATAGCCCCTCGATGTTGAACTTGTCCCCGTCCTCGTCCTTAAAGCGGAGCATCGTCAGCAGCCCCTCTATCACAGCGCGTGACAACTGATGCTTGTCAGCAAAGAGGTTCAGTAGCATGACCGAGAGGTTGCGGTGAGGATAATACTTGGAACCTTTTGCATCTTTGTTGTAACGCAGATTAGCTGCCCCACCTTCCACCACGGTAGCGTTCTGCATGTGGTCCTCATGCAGTTCCCATATACGTTGTCGCCGCGGGCTCGCCGATTTCGCGTGACGCATATTCCAAAGGCACGTCTAACTCCCACGGTCGGTCTGCGCCCTCCCCGCCCCTTCTGCTCCTTCTCTGTCGCACTCACTTTCTTCTAGCTCGCCCACGTCTACCCAGCCGAAGTCTTCGTCGTCGCTAGTGTCGAAAATTCCCCCGTTCGAGCCAACATCAGAGGGGTAGTCCAAATTTGTTGCAGAAGAGTTGAACTCGTCGCACAGTTCTTCTAGTACCGATGAGTACCTGAGCTCCGGATCGTCTACCGTCTCTCCGTCACCTCCCTGACTCTCTCCATCGCCGAAAGCATCACCACCACCCTCACTCCTCCCTGGACTCGAGATATGGGGACCTCCGTCCGCACCTTGTGCAAGTAGGACGAACAAACACCCACAACTTTCAGGGGCGAATCGTTCTGCGGGCTGGCGTATGAATGCTCGTCTGGGTTCCGTGGAGCCCAAATAGCTGCATGTTGCTATCGGTGTGTAGAGCTTCAGTCTAGTCTGTAGGGAGGCGGTCGACGCCAGCACTGTTAGGCCTTACGATTACAAGTTTGTTTGACCAAAAAAGTGACCGTGGTCGGTGTCGACATCCCGCCAAATACGCCCGTTCCCATGCTGTAGACAACAAACAATAGAACACTTTCAGATATCCGAATAAATTATGGTGTGCTATACCGCTCAACGCGAAAGGTGGGCACCGGGACCGGCGAGTGGGTTGTTCTTCGTCGCTTCATACGTTGTTAGTAAACTTGATCGACTTCATAAGTCGCGAGGAAAGGGATTGCTGTACCCTTCTCGCGATAAAAATATCTCAGGCAGGAACCGCAGGATGGGGTCCAACCCCCCCCTCCTATGTGACCCCGGCTGGGTCGTCTAGCTGGTAGAAGTGGAAGATAGGGGCCAGAGGGGCAGACGACAGAGTCCAATGATGGGAGAAAAACAAACAAAAACAAACAAAACATACACGCTGTACGCAGGGAGGAAGTCGGGCACAATTGCGCGCAAGTCCAGGGACCACCAGACGTCCCGGGGCGCGCGTGTTAAAGTGGCCGAAGCCGTCACCGCTGGATCAATTCCGTGGATATGCATCCCGGATAAAATAACCAGATAGCAGCAAACAGCATTTAGCGTTCGACGGACCAGAAAATACAGTAAGCAGGCAGGAATCGGCCGGCCGGTCCCGTACTAAATTAGGCGTAGCTATTTGTTCATTTGTGACTACAATAAATATTCACACCGGTTCGAATACTTACCGGCATATAAGCGTTGTGTGTCTGTCCATCCAAAATATAACGCAGCCTATTCGGGCAACGCGCATGATGTGGTCTTGCGTCGCCCGCGGGAGGCTTGACACCCACGTCGCGAAGGGAGACAGACCTTTTCTTAAAACATAAAGACTACAGCGTTGTATCAGTTCGTGTGTACGCAGAGGGAAAAGAGAGTATATTGTACTCTTGTCGCTTAAAAATTGGAGGCAAAGTACCGCAGGAGGCCTCAGGCGGCGGGGGACCCTCCTGTGTGACCAAGGGTTCCGAAGTACGCGCGCACAACTAATACAAAAATAAATGCTGCTGTGAAATAAACTCACTCTTAGTTTAAGTGCCAAGAGGGAAAGATTTCAGGGGTGGCGTCGTAGACGGTTTTCCATGCCGGCATCATTTCCCGCGTTAACCAGAAACCACGGAACAGTATGAAAGTGTGTTGTTGAAGACCGAATAAACTGTAGTCTTTTATTCCCGGAATGATTCGAAGCACCTCCCAGATCAACGTTTGTATTTTTGGGTTCGTTCTTGTTGTTGTGCCGCCCTTGAGGCGTGTTTGTTGGGTCGTCTTGGCTTGGTTTTCTGGGGTCCTACAAAGAAAAGGTATCACGGAGTTCTCATTCTGCTGCCTCGCTGCTCCTGCAGCAAGAGTTTGATAGACGCGTGTCTACTGGACCAAAAGGGCCACGTGTTGAGGAATGCACGGTGGGTAACACGCAGCTCGCGTCGGAGGATCACGCGGGAAGGACGGCAGCAGCTAGCTACATTGAAGTATTGACCTAGCTAGCAGAATTTCGTAGCTTTTCTCCCGCCCACCCACCCCCTTTGCTTCGAAGGCGGGGGGTGGGAGATGTCACGAGTGAGGACTCACTTTGGAGAGGCCTCTTGATATTTCTGTCACTCGGAGCTGGTGCAACCGTTTGCCACGTAGAAGAGTATGGCGTAGCATTGGGGTGATTTCTGAATGGTAGTGCGTACCATTGGGAGGTTCAATCGTCCGAGACTGCTACTACTGTGCAACAGTTTCGTCCCGCCTGGTAGTATTCGGAGGGAGATGTTGTCTTTCAGTAGCAGAGACAAGTTAGGATACCGCAGAGGATTCGTGCCGTGCGGAACGTGTGGTACGGGGAAGTCTCCCACCGTAGGCCACAGAGATATTAACCAAGGCAATTGGAAAGTAAACAACAAAACAGTATATATTCGGCGGTAGCTGACCACTACGACACATGTCGTATGGTAACTGGTCACCACGGTAATTTTCTAGTACGGTAACCATCAGGCACCACGGTACTGCACAGAAATGTGCAACTTTCTACGGCAACTGGTGACCACGTTGTTAATAATTGTACATACAGTAAAATTTCCGCGGAGAAATTTATAACGGAGACAGCCCTAAAAATTTCAACTTTTCTCCCATAGGTTAAGACTACTGTGTTTTTTGAAAAAGTATAGTCTAGAGGTACAAAAATATTACAGAGTAAAGAGTAGCGAGAGTGGTAAAAACAAAGATTCTAGGAATAAAAGAAACTACAGTACCTGCTGGTCCGTTGTTGGTCGCCGGGTTGGGATCAGGGGCCGCTGAATACCGACGATTGCGGTGACGTCGATGGTTGCGGGCGAAGCCACGTTGGCACCAGCCCTCGCGGCTTCGGCTTCATCATCACCATCACCACCGGCAGCATCCCCGTGAGCGGCGCACCGGTGTCTAGACAGGGCACGCCTCCTGTTCGCTACAAAGTCACACGATTCGCATTTCCATGAGCTGGGGTCCAAAATATTACCATTCATTGCCGTCGCCGGGTGATGGTGGTCCATTACGCCTTGCGCGATCCACCATATATAGAGAGAGATGAGCATAATGTCAGCAGCACATTTCAGATATTATACTGCTGTCGTACACAACATAGACTACATCAAATCAAGTATGCAATTGAGAACTAGACTACAGTACCGGCCCGCACTTAAGAATATGGCACTTGAGAAATTGATGCTCAAAAAATCCAATACTTGAGAATTTACCGATAAGGACACGTGCTCAGCTGCACGCCTTGTTAGGAACAAGAACACACACCTGAGGTGCAAAACTGCTGCTACAAATAAGAACGACAGCAATGCAGCGGCTGCCAGAAAAGAATGCTCGCAGGGGGAGGGAGGTAAGAGGGGGGAGTGATCCCAGACAGAGTAGACTAGACTAGAGAGTATTGGATTTGGGAGGGGTACATACCTCACATATCAATATTTGAGCATTTTTTTAGAGGGGGAAAGTGGGCATTGTACGCACGCATCGTGCCCCTGGGTGCCCCCGAGAAAAGTGTGCGTGCCACGCAACGTGCAGCGTGCCACGAGCTGCCTGCGGTGTAGGGGGATCATGTCCCAGTGCAATCCCTTCTCCCATGGGATATTGGAAGAGCTTGGCAAACTTGCAGAGTTGAAACAAAGGGGTCTGATTCTGTTCGTGTGTCTGGATACGAGCATGGTGTAGATCTGCTAGCAGCACGGGGGGGTACGTAGACAGGAGCATGCGTATGCCTGAAAAAAAGGCTACTATGTGTGGGCCCCCTTCCCCGAATTCGGGAGGGCCACTTCTTCCCTTCCTTTTCTCGCTCCCGCGGGTGCCTAATCAGAGAGAGTTAAAGCGTGTCTTCTCCTCCCAAGTACGGACATACCAACACACTAGTGTTTATTCTCTCGAGGGAGTCCATTAGGGATGGCGGGCCGCAGAACCGGAGGGACCACTCCGGACGGCTCGCAGGCAGGAGACACAAATAGCAGCGAGCAGATCGACAGCATGCGGTCTGAGATCAGTTCGCTGACACAGCAAGTGGGCCAGCTGGTGCAGCTGGTCGGAGGACTTGCTGCACGTATAGTCTAGAGGAGAAGTCCGGCGGTGCCACGGAGGGCGCCGCTGAAAGCGGCGGCGCCGTGGAGAGCGTCGCCACAAGCACTGCAGGTCATTTTGGGGCCGTGCAGTACGACGGGAGCGCGCAGGCAGCGGACTTGCGAAGAGAGTCTGGTCCTTCGGGACGACACAGCAGCGAAGTAGGGGGTTCAGACCCCCAAGGGGTGAGAGTAGCCACTGCTCACAATCAAGCTTGTTTCAGCAGCGCCATGGGAAGTGGTGCTGCTGTCTTCGGTAGTGCGAGCGTGGGATACCAAAGCGTGAAGTACAC